TGTGCCCCTCCCCATATCCTCTTTTTCTCAGCAACAGTCATTGCTGTCAGTCTGGTGTGTCCTCTCAGGCCTCCTTAGAGCTATCTTGATTTATATGTGTAAACATCCAAGGGAGTGGTAATTGTTTTCTGTTCTGATTTTTGCTCTAATGATATTCAGTTTCTAACTCATTCTTTTTATGCATGTTTTTATTCAGGACACAGTAAGTTTATTAGAAATACAAATGCAGAAGCATTTTATTTTCATTGTCATACCTCTGACCTCTCTGTAGTCTACTTTATTCATCTTCATACTTTTTTGCTGTTAAATCTTATCTACCAATTACATTCTGGATTTGATTCAGTACTTAGCTTTTCTTTTTGTAAGGATCTTTAGCTTAAATTGTTAAAATGATTTATTGATGTCTGTTTGTAGGATGCTGAAGAAGACCATGAAAGAACACATCAAATGGTTTTACTGAGAAAGCTTTGTCTGCCAATGTTGTGTTTTCTGCTTCATACAATATTGCACAGTACTGGTCAGTATCAGGAATGCCTACAGTTAGCAGATATGGTATCCTCTGAGCGCCACAAACTGTACCTGGTAAGTTCTAGAGCATTGTAGTTTTAAATTTTAATGATTTGATATGCTCTGTAGTAATATTTTGTGAAGATGTGTTTACATTTGTAATTGTTCTTGGATTTTCTTAAAGTAATAGTCCTGTTTTAATGTTTGTGCTTTTTTCCCAAAATGTGTATATATTTGTAAGCAGTTAGAAATATATAGACTGACACTGAGAATTCGCCTTGAAATTCCTGAACCACTCTAATTTACTAGCCTTTGGCTACATAAATCTTAAAGAGGAATTTCTTATATGAAGCTAATCAGATTGATTAGCTAACCAAGTTCATACTTGTCTTTGTTCTCATTCTTATTTCTCTTTTTAAAAATCAGGTATTTTCTAAGGAAGAGCTAAGGAAGTTGCTGCAGAAGCTAAGAGAGTCCTCTCTAATGCTCCTAGACCAGGGACTTGACCCATTAGGGTATGAAATTCAGTTATAGTTTAATCTTTGTAATCTCACTAATTTTCATGATAAATGAAGTTTTTAATAAAATATACTTGTTATTAATTTTTTCTTTTGCATTGCCATGTAAAATTTAGACATTTGAATTTTGTACTTTTCAGAATATTATCATGACACTTTGAACATGTAATGTATGTATATCAACGTTTCTCTGTATGCTTATTAATAAAACTATATAAAAACTAAAATTTTTCTGTTTTTACAAATTCGAGGATTGTCTCTTTATCATGTAATAAGAAAATTAAATTTTCTATTCTAGTTTTTTCTGTAATCATAAGCATTCTGATATTTTAAAATCATAAAGATGGGCCAGGCGTGGTGGCTCAAGCCTGTAATCCCAGCACTTTGGGAGGCCGAGACGGGCGGATCACGAGGTCAGGAGATCGAGACCATCCTGGCTAACACGGTGAAACCCCGTCTCCACTAAAAAATACAAAAAACTAGCCAGGCGAGGTGGTGGGCGCCTGTAGTCCCAGCTACTCGGGAGGCTGAGGAAGGAGAATGGGGTAAACCCAGGAGGCGGAGCTTACAGTGAGCTGAGATCCGGCCACTGCACTCCAGCCTAGGCAACAGAGCCAGACTCCATCTCAAAAAAAAAAAAAATAAAATAAAATCATAAAGATGATGGAAAGTAGATTTATTTTTAAGCCAGGTAAGTAATTTTTTATAAAATTTAGTATTTTTTGAATATTAAAATTAAGACTATAACAAGAATGTTTTCTAACATAACATGCTATTATTATTTTAGTTATTTTGAAGACATTTCTAGTTTAGCTTTCATTTAGCAAACTTCCTGTCAAAACAAGAGCATATAAAGACTTAGCATAGTACCTGGCACATAGTAAGCACTGAATACATTGGAGATTACAAATCCAGCTCTTCTAATAGGGGAAATACCATAAGTACATTTAAAAGGTGTCATTAAAAAATACAAGTATTGGCTGGGTGCAGTGGCTCACGTCTGTAACCCCAGCACTTCGGGAGGCCAAGGCAGGCGGATCACCTGTTGTCAGGAGTTTGAGACCAGCCTGGCCAACATGGTGAAACCCTGTCTCTACTAAAAATTATAGAAATTAGCCGGGCATGGTGGCAGGCACCTGTAAACCCAGCTATTCAGGGAAGGCTGAGGCATGAGAATCTCTTGAACCTGGAAGCAGAGGTTGCAGTGAGCCGAGATCGCACCACTGTACTCCAGCCTTAGGGACAGAGCGAGACCTCCAAAAAAAAGAAAGAATTACAAGTAGTCTGAGCAGGAAGAAGCTATCTCCAGCTGAAAAGACTCTCAGGAAGTAATACTGGGTTGGGTTTTGAGTAATGCACTGAATTTGCAAAGGCAAAGAGAGACACAAGAAGGATGAGGCTCTACAGATTAAGAAATCAGTATGAGCAAGAAATGATATATGCTGGGCATTTTTATGAACCAACAAATACACCAAATAGGCTAGAGAGTAGGGCTTATAAACAGGAGACAACTAAAAGAATGTGATTCTAATAGAAAACAGTAATTCCCCAAACTTGCTAATCTTCTAAGGAATTTCTTGAATATGTATTTATAGATGCCACCCCTAAAGACAGCTGGCTCAGGAAGCCTGAGATGGGATCATAGAATTTGATCAGCTCTATATTATGTGCTTTTTTTGTTGTTGTTTCTCTAAAGAATTAATCTTGTCTTCCTGTTTTCTTTATTCTTACTAATATGCAAATGATTTTTACAGCTCATGCAGTCCTGTAATCATGATTATTGCTATGCTGCTTTGCAAAAAATAAAAAATTCATACCAAAACAAATACAGACTAGATTTGGGGGGGAGGGGAAAAGTGAGTCTTAAAAGTAGTTTTGTTACTTGCAACAAACTATATATATAGAAACTTTGTACAACCTAGGGTGACTATTTCCAAAGACTTACCTATTTGTTGAACAACAGTAGAAAACTACTTAGCCTAAATGAGGAGGAGGAATATTATATGCTTCCATCCTAACTGTATGTGGGTAAATGGACAAGATCTGTCATCTATTTAGGAACTTGTTTTGCATGCCCCCTCACCTCTGTATTCATCTTTTGTTTCGCCTTGTTTTTTGAATATACTTTAAAAAACAACAACAGAAACCCACTAAGGTTGTAGAATTACAAAATTCTTTCAACCTTAGACTCTTAATTAGGATGCCCTCAAATGGACTTGTTTTTCATTTTTATTTATTTATTTTTGAGATAGGGTCTTGCTGTGTCTCCCAGGCCAGAGTGCAGTGGCATGATATCTCACTGCAAACCTCTGTCTCCTGGGTTCAAGTGATTCTCTGCCTCAGCCTCCCTAGTAGCTGGGATTACAGGCGCCTGCCACCACGCCTGGCTAATTTTTGTATTTTTAGTAGAGACAGGGTTTCACCATGTTGGCCAGGCTGGTCTCAAACTCTTGACCTCAAGTGATCCACTCACCTCAATCTCTCAAAGTGCTGGGATTACAGGTATGAGCCACAGTACCTGGCCAATTGGACTCATTTGAGTCCTTAGGTAGTCAATATGTGTGTTGCTGCTTATTTAAATACAGTTCAAGTTGGAACCCCAAGAGCGCCAATGTGCTCCTCACAATTCCCAGATGCCTCTGTCTTCCTGAACACCAGAAGTGGTGGGCACCTGAGTGGGAAATTTCAGGCAACTTAATTTAGTTCCTCAGTGCCTACTCTTAAAGAACTGGGTTTTCATTCTAGAGAAGAAACTCTTAACAAGGGCATGTTTCCTATCGCAGGTTCACATACTAATTTTTAAAAACTCTTCTTGGTATGACTTATGCCAAGGAATTATGAAGACATTTTCCCTGAGTATTGCATGAAGGCTAAAAATTGCAACAGGCATATCCTGGGTGTGAAGGTTTTAATTTCCCTACCTCATTCATTTAATTTAGAGATGGGGGTCTCACTGTGTTGCTCAGCCTGGCTTCAAAGTCCTGGGCTGAAGCAATCCCCACGTCAGTCTCTCAAATAGCTGGGACTACAGGCCCATGTCACCATGCCCTACTTGCTCATTTATTTTAATTTTTTTTACCATATTCTTTCTCTTTTTAATTTTGTGACTGCTGAATTAATCCTAGACTCTATCTTAAAACTAAGAATTGATGTATTGGTAGGAACAGCTGGACATTCAAGATATTTTTGTGATTCCTTTTTTAAAAATCCTCTTTTGTACCTGTAATATCTACAATATATAATCTTGCTCTGTCGACTTGAGGAAGAAGGAGAAAGGAAGAACCTGACTTCTGTGTGAAGGACCTTACTGCAATGTCGATCAAGACTGTTACTCAAAGTTGTAACTCTTAGTCATTGCACCTGACTTTAGGATCCAAAACATACATACATACACACACACACACACACACACACACACACACACACACCCCTAGAGACAGTTGTATACAGTTTTGACAAGTTGTGCGTTTTTTTCTCGAGTTGTAATTGAACACAATAGCACTTGTTTACATTGTCAAGGGGACATCTTTAGAGAACACATTTTCTCACTGTTGAGCTAATAATGCTTTGTGAATGTATGATCTAAGGAGAAACCCTTGTAGTTATACCCGATGATGCTGTCTGTTGGAAAGTAAATTTTGAATGTCTTTCTCGAAAAACAAAAAATAAAAATACGCTTTCGATAAGTTATTTCCCCCTCTGGCGAGGGCTAAACTTGCTCAGCATTTAATAGGTAAAATTGGCTAACAGTGTCTGCACAGCCAGAGAGAAGTTGTCTAGCAAATCGGGTCAGTGACACACGGGAAACAAACATCAAGAAAGGGGTCCTAGATTGGTCTAGTCCAAGTAGGCGTTAGGTGACCAAGAGGGTTGGGGACCAAAAGAATAGGACATAAAGACGCGAGCGTCGCGCGCCCAGGGCTCAGCGCGCCTGCGCAGGGTAGCGGCCCTTCAGCCCGCGGCTCGGGGGCGGAGGCACCGGAGCCTCGGGTCACGTGGCCGCAGGCGGAGATGGGCGGGGCGTGGGACGTGCTGCCGCGTCCTCGCTGGCTTACAGGGCGGCGGCGGGGCGTGTGTCGTCTGTTAAGAGTGCTGCTCGTCCAGGGTTGATCTGTGCATGCCACTCCTGGGTCAGACGGTGAGGTCGGCGTCTGCGAGGACGCGGCGGTGGAGGAGAAGGGCAACCGGAGACAGGCCGGGCGCCCCTTCGGAGGCTAAACGGCCCCGGCTTCGCGGGGATCATGGCATCGCTGGTGGACCGAATGCGGGGCCATGGGCGAATCGCCGCCGGGCTCCTGTTCAACCTGCTGGTGTCCATCTGCATTGTGTTCCTCAACAAATGGATTTATGTGCACCATGGCTTCCCCAACATGAGTCTGACCCTGGTGCACTTCGTAGTCACCTGGCTGGGCTTGTATATCTGCCAGAAGCTGGACATCTTTGCCCCCAAAAGTCTGCCGCCCTCCAAGCTCCTCCTCCTGGCCCTCAGCTTCTGTGGCTTTGTGGTCTTCACTAACCTTTCTCTGCAGAACAACACTATAGGCACCTATCAGCTGGCCAAGGCCATGACCACGCCGGTGATCATAGCCATCCAGACCTTCTGCTACCAGAAAACCTTCTCCACCAGAATCCAGCTCACGTTGGTGAGTAGCTTCAGCTTCCCGAGGCGAGGCTCTCCCGACCCACCTCCTGCACTGGCCCCGGGAAATTCGAACGCACACTGGTCTTTCCCTTCATCTTGAAATCCACAAATGAGTCATCTGTGAGCCAGTGAAGTTTCAGGCTTATTTTGGGGAGGGGGAAAAGGCCATCTTGTCAACCCAGAAGAGTGGGCTTGTGTGAGTTTTAGTAGCTGCCATTTGATGGAAATCGTTAAATGCTGTGATCGGTAAGAAAAACTATTGTGTGGTACAGTCCAGTGTTATCAGAGTATCTGCAAAAACTCAAACTGAAAAACAGCCTTTCTCCCCTAGGGGAATCAAATCGTATATGATAAAATGTGAAGAGATTTAGCATAAAGTAGGTCTCAAAATGTCTGCAGCACCACACTGCAGAGCTGTCTGCAACTTTAAATAAAAGGAGGTGGACTCAATTTTAGCACTTAGTAACTTAGTATATTTAAGGTCTTCTTCCTTTTTCTTTCTTTTTTTTTTTTTTTTTCTTTTTTTGTTTTTGTTTTTGAGACGGAATTTCACTCTTGTGGCCCAGGCTGGAGTGCAATGGCGTGATCTCGGCTCACCGCAACCTCCGCCTCCCGCGTTCAAGCGATTCTCCTGCCTTAGCCTCCCAAGTCGCTGGGATTACAGGCATGCGCCACCACGCCCGGCTAACTTTGTAGTAGAGACGGGTTTTCTCCATGTTAGTCAGGCTAGTCTCAAACTCCAACCTCAGGTGATCTGCACGCCTTGGCCTCGGAAAGCTCTGGGGTTACAGGCGTGAGCCACCGTGCCCGGCCTTATATTTAAAGTCTTTATGCTTTTATTGTTTTATATTTATGCTTATGCTGTTTAGACACTATTTCGGGGATCCATTTACTCACCTTTGTATTCATGTGGTATTTTCTTGAAAAGTGCAATATATTTACCACAAATTTAAAATAGAATTAAATGTGAATATCAATATAGATTTATCATATTTCATGTTTGGGAAATAGGATTAACAACCAGTTTTCCCAAGTGAAAAAAGAAAACATTTATACAGGTTCATTGTTTCCCAGTTATGTGTTTATCATTAGCCTTGTAAGACATTGTGAAAGGAATACTAAATTTTTGTCTCTTGAATTTAATCTGAACAACATTTACCTCTTTTTCGTTACAGATTCCTATAACTTTAGGTGTAATCCTAAATTCTTATTACGATGTGAAGTTTAATTTCCTTGGAATGGTGTTTGCTGCTCTTGGTGTTTTAGTTACATCCCTTTATCAAGTGGTTGGTAATTTTTTTTTTCTTTATGTGCCTTTTTAGCAGATTTCATAAATTTTGAAGCTGTATTCCAAGGTTTAGAAAATACAGTATAGAGACAATAGACTGTTGGGAAGAAAGCGTAATTGCTTAAGTTGACTCAAGGTGAAGAGAAGAAAGGAGACAGAGAAACTTGGGTGTGTGATGCTGACCAAATACCTACCTGTTTGTAAGTGTATAATATCCATGCTTAACAGTCTCAGCTTGGGGTGAAGTTATTTTCTGGGAAATCTTTACAAAATACGTAGTAAGACTTTATACTTCCTAAGTTTATTTATGTTTTTTGTGTACTCTTTACTTTTAACATTGTTGTGAAGGAGTGAGTATACTTCCAGAAATCTGAACAGTAAAGAAAAATTTCAGATTTTTAGATTTTTTTGCCTCAAAAATTATACTGCTGTTGTACTTGTTTATTGGCTTTTAATAATTTGTCTAATATAGATTATTATTATATTAATAGAGTAATTTATATCAATGAGTATTTTACCATTTGTGCAAGCACAGTGCCTTGCCTATAGCAGATATTCATTAAAAATGTGTTCATGGATTCAGTTACTTCATTACCATAAAACCTAACAAGTATGGTTTTTGTTTCTTACGTAGTGGAGAAAAAATAACCTGCTGTAGGGGACAGTGAAACGGTATTCTCTCTATACTGAAAACCTTAGTCTGGAAATTCTGTGTGTGCCTGTATGGGAAATCAAAGCCAAAATGTGTAACCAATTTTACTTTTTTCACAAACATCCGCTGGTTATTAAACTAAGGCATTCCTGTTAGAAATGTTAGGAGTTCAGTAATAGAGCCCTGGCATCTTAAACGTTCTAGTAGTGATCATGTCAGAGACGGTGTTTGAAAATATTCTGCACTGAAATACATTTTCTAGTGACAGAGAAGCAGTTTAAATAAAAGAAGAGGCTAGTGAACATTCCTATTCATCTTTCTTGTTAAATGCACTTGTTTTTGCCTAGTATAGGCTATTAAACAGAGCAAGAAATTGTACTCCTTATATGTAATGGATTCAGAGTACTCACCATCTCTGTCACTATGACCATTTTTGTTCACACAAGTCTCAAAATTGCTATAGATTAGAATCAAAGGTTCTATATCCCTAAGGTAGATATTTGAAATGAAATTGACCAAGGAATGATTGTAGATTAATGGACAGTTTCTTATCAGTAAATGGTAAAGGTATTATTACAAAATAGGTATATTCCCAAAACATTCCTCTTAAAGTTGTATCTGCCCACTGTATCTTGGCATAATTTCTATGTTGTTTCTCTTATACTGCTGGAGACATTAAAAGGAGTTAAAAGACAAGTGACCAGCTATTAGCTTGAGTTGTAGAAAGATGGTTGGCTCACTCATTCATTCAGCAGACATCTTTTCTGCATTATGTTCACCCTTGAGGATACAAAGATGAAAAGCAGCTACAGTCCAGCAGTGTAGAAACACATGGAGACAGCTGGTCACAATAGCATATGGAGCCCAAGGTAGGAGGAAAGTTCTGAGGAACACCAAGGAGGAAGTGGCAGCTCTAAAAGAGGGGCGGTGAGGTAAGACTTTACGGAAAAGTTAACAATTTAAATGGAAGGGCACACAGAAATGAGCTCAGCAGTAAAGGACAGCTGGTCTTTTCCTTGCAGTGTGCGTGAAAACCTGGAGCATTTTCGGAGAACTTGATTTGTTTGGTGAGGCTAGGCAGTCAGATGCCAGGGTCGTGAAGGCATGCTAAAGAAGTGTGTCTTTACTGAGCACGCACCAGGAGAGGGGTTCAGACAGGGACTGACTTGATCATTCCCCTTTAGAAAAGTAACTGATGGCAAGGAAGGGTGGGTAAAAGGGAAGGAAGGGTGAAAGGCAGAGCAGTCAGGAACCTACCTGTGCTTCACGGGACAAGCAGGAAGGGCCTGGGCTAGGGCAGTGGGAATGGACAGGGAAAGGTTAAAAGGCACTCCAGGGGCCTTTTGGGGAATACATAGGAGAACCTGATTGAATGTGAGAGTGAAGAAAGTAAGGCTCTGATCCCTGAGGGGGATTATATCATCAATTATTGGAACCACGCAAGAGGAGCCCATTTGTGGAAGAAAGGCACCAGTTGATTTTAAACAAGTTCCTGCAGATTATATAAGTAGAGATGGCCAGGAGACTGGCTAATACAAGGTTAAGGATGCTTAAGGGATGAGGGAAGAGCAGTAGATCTCAGCAAATAGTAAAAGACATCAGTCAGGGCAATGAAAGAGGAAGGCAGACATCTGCCTTAAAAACTAAGTGCAGGAGGCAGTGAGGGAGGAGTGTAAACCAGAGGGTAGTTCTTCCAAGCAAAATTTGCAGGTTCTGCAAAGAGGGCTTGCAGGAAGGGCCACAGGGAGTCTGGACATGGCCATGGAGGTCATGGTGCCCTTAGGAGAGCATTAGAGGGGTGGTGGCAGGAGCCAGGCTGTGCTGCACTGAGGAACAGTGGAGGCCTGAGAGCCCCTGCTGTTCCAGGCAGTCCTGTGGCCAAGACACACAGCTGCCTGGAGAGGCTGCAAAAGGAAAGTGGGGTGAGCACACACCCTCTGTATCCATTTTTGCTCGTTGCTGTGCCCCGAGGAGCAGGCAGCTTAGAAGAATCAGTTCTTTGTCCTTCACATTCACAGAGAACTCTTAGTTAAAGCTGGCAGGAGTATGGTTCAAATTCCCTGCTCTTCTATTTTTGTCTTGATGAATTTCTATAGACTTAGAGTTTATGTAACAAGATACCCAGACCTACAGGAACAAGACGTATGTAGAAGTCATTCAAAAGCCTAGCTGTTCTTGCCAGATGTGATCCAAACAGTCCTGTTAGAGCTTCTTCAGAGCCTCTTTTTCAGTTATATTTGTGAAGCATTTTGTGGACAAATGGGATTTGAGGTCTTAAGATGTTGTTTCTACTGAATGGTATGGTATTTTAGGGTTAGTGATTATCCAATGTATCTAGGTGTATTGGTGGGGGATGAGGAATAGTATCCACAGAAAAGTCATCCAGAGAGAGGACAATGTCTTCTATCATTGATTGGGTTTTCCAAAGCAACTGACAAGACCACATACCTTTTCAAGCCACACACATTGGCAGCCATCTCTAACCTGCCCCATGCCCCATTGTCATCCTGTCCCCCAACCTCTGTCTTCCTTTGTTTTTTTTTAGACAGAGTCTTGCTCTATCACCCAGGCTGGAGTGCGGTGGTGCAATCTTGGCTCACTGCAACCTCTGCCTCCTTGGTTCTCCTGCTCAGCCTCCCGAGTAGCTGGGACCACAGGCGTGCACCACCATACCCGGCTAATTGTATTTTTAGTAGAGATAGGGTTTCACCATATTGGCCAGGCTGGTCTCGAACTCCTGACCTCAGGTTATCTGCCTGCCTCGGCCTCCCAAAATGCTGGGATTACAGGTGTCAGCCACTGCTCCTGGCCCCGTCTTCCATTTTTAAATTTTTGCCATTTTTAGAAAGAAATGAAGTCCAACACTGCATCTGTATTCCTAATCACCTGAATTTCCATTTTTTGCTTATTTTCTCAAGATCTTTTATCCTTGTAGGCCCTCATTTGCCTTTATTTTTCCCTGTTTACTAGGATCAGGTAGAAGGAAATAGAGGACTTTTCTCCCCCTTCTAAGAACTGAGAAGAAGCTAGATTATCAGAAATTAAATTTATAGAGCTATTTTCATCCATGGTGCTTAAAGAGCATTCATATAGCTTACTGGTCTTTGAAATCCTGTAGAATAATAGACATTTTATCTTCCCCTAGTCTATACCCCACATTCCCATCTTTGTGACTCTATTTGTTGCATCTTTGATTAAGTGATACTATTTCTTTTGTGCCAGACATGTTTTATCTCCTAATTTTCAGTGGGTAGGAGCCAAACAGCATGAATTACAAGTGAACTCAATGCAGCTGCTGTACTACCAGGCTCCAATGTCATCTGCCATGTTGCTGGTCGCTGTGCCCTTCTTCGAGCCGGTGTTTGGAGAAGGAGGAATATTTGGTCCCTGGTCAGTTTCTGCTTTGGTAAGTTCTAATTGTTTTGATATCTAAGAAACAGTATAATAATAACTCCTCCATTATTAATATAATTTTTAGTTTTCAGAGCACTATGTCCGATCCATTCTCACATTTATCTTCGTAATCACCATATAAGGAGGTAAGGTAAGGATTATTTTTCAGATGAAGAAATTGAGGCACACAAGGGTGAAGGTACTTGCCTAGAATGAGGCAGCTACTTAGTGGCAAAAGCAGAACTACAATTAATGTCTTCCGATACCTGGTTACTGTACTGACCATGTCAAGCTAGAGCCCACAAATAATTTGGACATTTAGATTAAGTTAAACTTTTTTTTACAATGAAAACATAGCTTTATAATCACTATGTCGATTTTGAACACATGTAAAAATACAAAGAAAGTGAAGGGGCCAGGCACAGTGGCTCACTCCTGTAATCCCAGCACTTTGGGAGGATGAGGTGGGCAGATCATTTGCGCTCAGGAGTTTTAAACCAACCTGGGCAACATAGGAGGACCTCATCTCTACAAAAAAATTTTAAAATTGACTGGGTGTGATGGCTCATGCCTGTAATCCCGGGACTTTGGAAAGCTGAGGCAGATGGATCACTTGAGCTCAGGAGTTCAAGACCAGCCTGGCCAACATGGCGAAATCTGGTCTCTACTAAAAATACAAAAAGATTAGCTGAGGCTGGGTGCGGTGGCTCATGCCTATAATCCCAGCACTTTGGGAGACCAAGGCAGGCTACTCAAAAGGCTGAGGCACGAGAATTGCTTGAACCTGGGAGGTGGAGGTTGCAATGAGCCAAGATCGTGCCACTGTACTCCAGCCTGGGCCACAGAGCAAGATTCTGTCTCAAAAAAAATCAAAAAATTAGCCAGGCATGGTAGCACATGCCTATGGTCCCAGCTACTTGGGAGGCTGGGGTGGGAGGATCACTTGAGCCCAGGAGGTCGAGGCTGCAGTGAGCCAAGATAGCACCACTGCATTTCAGCCTGGGCAACAGAGGGAGACCCTGTCTCAAAAGAAAACCAAACCAAAACAACAACAAAAGAAAGTGAAGGGCCCCTGGAACGCTATCACACTAAGGTAATTACCGTTACCATTTTGGTGAGCATCATTTCATGGATCTCTTTTGTATAAATACGTAGGTACACATGCATGTGTGTATAATTTTAGATATGGAATGATATCATAGATGCTGTTTTTATTGTGGATTCCTCTTCCCCAGCCTTCCTAGCCATACACTCTTCCACATTCCATTACCCCCAATCCATGTCCCTTGAAGTCATGTTAATATTCTAAGTGCTTGTTCTTCCATATTTTTCTCCATGCCGTATATATCCATATAAACACACACACACAGACACACACACACACACACACACACCAATTAAACATCTATTTCTTCTTTTTTTTTTTTTCTTTTGAGATGGCGTCTCACTCTGTCACCCAGACTGGAGTGCAGTGGTGCAATTCTTGGCTCACTGCAACCTCCACCTCCCGGGTTCAAGCAATTCTCCTGCCTCAGACCCCCGAGTAGCTGGGACTGCAGGCGCACACCACCACGCCCAGCTAATTTTTGTATTTTTAATAGAGACGGGGTTTCACCATGTTGGCCAGGATGGTTTCGATCTCTTCATCTCAGGTCCGCCTGCCTCAGCCTCCCAAAGTGCTAGGATTACAGGCATGAGCCACCGCACCCAGCCACATCTGTTTCTTTGACAAAAGTAGAATCCTATCACATATGCTTTTCTGTATCTTGCTTTTCTGACTTAATAATATCTCCTAAAAATCTCTCTAAAGCATTCTTTTCAGTGTCTGTATGTTTTGTTGTTGTTGTTTTGTTTTGAGACAGAGTCTCACTCTGTAGTGCAGTGGCATGATCTCTGTTCACTGCAACCTCCACCTTCCGGGTTCAAGTGATTCTTGTGCCTCAGCCTCCCGAGTAGCTGGAATTACAGGTGTGAGCCACCACACCTGGCTAATTTTTTTGTATTTTTGGTAGAGACGGGGTTTCACCATATTGGCCAGGCTGGTCTTAACCTCCTGACCTCAAGTGATCCACCCACCTGGGCCTCCCAAAGTGCTGGGATTACAGACATGAGCCACCGCACCCAGCCAGTGTCAGTATAATAGCCCCTTTGCATATTCACATTTTTCCAGTTCTTTACCACTATGAACAATACTGTGATAAACATCCTTGTACATCATGTGTCCTCATGTACTGATACCTTTTTTCCTATGGAAATGAGTCCCAGGAGTGGAATTGGCAAATCAAGGACATATGTATTTTGAGGACTTTTATTTTTTAGAGACAGGGTCTGGCTATATTGCCCAGCCTGGCCTCAAGCTCCTGAGCTCAAGTGATCCCCCAACCTCAGCTTCCCACACAGCTGGGACTAATGCTTTGGGGACATTTTAAGTTAGAATGTATAATCCTCCTATGTCTTAGTTCAGGCTGCTATAACAAAACTACAATGGACTGGGTGGCTTAAACAACAGATACTCGGTTCTCACAGTTCTGAAGTCTGGAAGTCTGAGATCAGGCTGCCGGTATGGTTGGGTTCTTGGTAAAGGCCCTTTTCCTGCTTTATAGATGGCATTCTTCTTGCTGTATGCTCATCTGACAACAAGGAAGAGGAGAAGCAAGCTCTCTTGTATCTCTTCTTATCATAGGGACTAATCCCATTCATGAAGGCTCTACCCTTATGCCGTAGTCACCTCCCAAAGGCCCTACCTCCCAATACCATCACACTGCGGGTGAGGATTTCAACATAGGAATTTTGGGGGGACACAGACATTCAGTCCATAACACCTTACTTATCAGGAATTCCTGCTTCCGACAAGAGTTCCCACAACTCTTGGAACACAATTAGTGGGAATGTCTTTTTTGTTGGTCATATCAATTTATCAAGCACCTGTATAGCCCCTATTCTCTTCCCGGCACTGTTCAAAGCACTGTGTAAATATTAACTTATTTAGTTTTCATAACTTTATTAGGTTGATGCTATACTAATACTATTTGTATTAGTCCATTTTATGATGTTATAAAAGAATACCTGAGACTGAGTAATTTATAAAGAAAAGAGGTTTATTTTGGCTTATCGTTCTGCAGACAGTACAAGAAGCATTAGTGCTGGCATCTACTGCTAGTGACGGCCTCAGGAAGCTTACAATCACGGTGGAAGGCGAAGGGGAAGCAGGCACGTCACATGGCGAGAGAGGGAGCAAGAGAGGGAGGGAAGGAGATGCCAGTGTCTTTTAAACAACTAGCTCTCATGAGAGCTAATAGAGCAAGAACTCATTACCCCTGGGGAGGGCACCAAGCCATTCATGAGGGATCCACCCCCATAACCCAAACACCTTCTACTAGGCCTCACCTCCAACATTGGTGATCAAATTTCAACATGAGATTTGGAGGGAACAGACATCCAAACTATATCACTATTGTTATTATTTTTACTGATAAGGAAACCGAGAGATAGAGAGTTAGTAACTGGCTCGCAATCCCACAGCTAATAAGCAGAGCCACAATTTGGATCCATGCCTTCTGGGTCCAAAGTCTGTATTCTCCAGTGCTCCACTCTGCTTCCCGTAAGTAGACCAGTAGTTGTTTCAAATTTATATATTTTAGCATATACAGTTTTTTTCTAAAGTAGAAGTCATTGGACCATCTAGCAGATAATACTTCCACTTACTTTACAAAAGTCCTAGCCATCCTGGTTATCTGGTTTCAAACCATTGCATCCTGGAGACCTTATGCTACAAGGAGAGAGGATTTTTTTGGTCGCCTTCTAACAGGTTGTAAAATGAGGACCACAGCAGAAAAGCCATTAAAAAAAAAAAAAAAAAGTCAAAGAAACCAAGACCACAGAAGGCTAAGGCCATTTAGTGTGAGGGAAAGTCATCTTCATTCCTTAATGTCCCTAGGAGGCGTCCTTGACTCAAAGTAGAGCATTGTGTCAACTAACTTATTTTTTGCATGTAAAGCCAGCATTACCCTAATACCAAAACCAGGAAAGGACACAACCAAAAAAGAAAACTAAAGACCAATATCCTTGATGAACGTAGATGCTAAAATTTAACAAAATGCTAGCTAACTGAATCCAATGACATATCAAAAAGATAATCCACCATGATCAAGCGGGTTTCATACCAGGGATGCAGGGATGGTTTAACATACTCAAGTCAATAAATGTGATACACTACATAAACAGAATTAAAAACAAAAATCACATGATCAGCCGGGTGCAGTGGCTCACGCCTGTAATTCCAGCACTTTGGGAGGCTGAGGCGGGCAGATCACGAGGTCAGGAGATCGAGACTAGCCGAGGCCATCCTGGCTAACACGGTGAAACCCCTTCTCTACTAAAAATACGAAAACAAAATTAGCCAGGCGTGGTGGCAGGCACCTGTAGTCCGAGCTACTCGGGAGGCTGAGGCGGGAGAATGGCGTGAACACACAAGGCGGAGCTTACAGTGAGCTGAGATGGTGCCACTGCACTCCAGCCTGGGTGACAGATCAAGACTCCAAAATAAATAAATAAATAAATAATCACATGATCATCTCAATAGATGCAGAAAGAGCATTTGACAAGATCCAGCATCGCTTTATGATTAAAACCCTCAGCAAAATCGGCATACAAAGGACATACCTTAATGTAATAAGAGCCATCTATGACAAACCCACAGTCAATATAATACTGAATGGGGAAAAGTTGAAAGCATTCCCTCTGAGAACTGGAACAAGACAAGGATGCCCACTCTTACCACTCCTCTTCAACATGGAACTACTTTATATTCTTTAAAGTCCCTAACAAAGTAGAGTAATTGTGTTTTTAGTGATGTGATGTGCCAAGTATCAAGAAATAGGTATGCAGCATTCTGTGAACTCAGTAAAATTAGCAATGATATATTTTAGATATATTTCTAGAAACTCTTTTTAAAATCTCTAAGCAAATTTCTCTATGTTGGCTATTTAATAGACCTCACTATTGTAAATTAAATGAGGTATTACTATATTTACCTAAGTAGGACAGAAATCCAATTCCTCTGGTCGTCTTAAGACTGCACTGATTTTAACACTGATAAAACCTACATGGGGCTGGGCACAGTGGCTCATGCCTATAATCCCAACACTTTGGGAGGCCAAGGTGGGAGGATCACTTGAGCCCGGGTGTTTGAGACCAGCCTGGGCAACATGGTAAAAACCTGTCTTTACAAAAAACAAAACAAAATAACAAAACCCTACATAAGACAAAAAGCATCTTCAAATATGACATGTTTTCTTCGGAACTTAAACTTCTTAATAGTTTAGATCATGGATATTATTTTATCTAAATTCAGAAACAAAATGATTCTATAACTTATTGGATAAAATTATGGGACAGATTTGAACAGAACATTGTATGTGTATATAGTGTTCCAACCCATTTGTCCCCCTGTTTCCAGCCAAGTTATCTATAAAAAGGAATAATATTTTTACATCTACTTTGTGGATGTACGTGAAAATTAAACGAGTGAATACATGTAAAACAGAACAATTATTGGTGCATAATAAGTGTTATGTAAGTGTAAGCTGTGATCATCGTGATTTTTATTATGTCCTCAAGTAGTTTCTAAGCTCTTTGAGGGCAGGAACTTTGTACATATTGCGTTCCTCACAAGGCCTGGCCTAACTTTGTAGATATCCAATGAATGCTTATTGAGTTACATAAAAATAAAAATGAGGCCAGGTGCAGTGGCTCAGGCCTGTAATCCCAGCACTTTTGGGAGGCCAAGGCGTGCAGATCACCTGAGGTCAGGAGTTCGAGACCAGCCTAGCCAACATGGTAAAACCCCATCTCTACCAAAAAATACAAAAAAAAGTAGCTGGGTGTGGTGGCATGGGCCTGTAATCCCAGCTACTGGAGAGGCTGAGGCAGAAGAATTACTTGAACCTGAGAGGCGGAGGTTGCAGTGAGTCGAGATTGCACCACTGCACTCCAGAGTGGGTGACAGAGTGAGACTCCATTTAAAAAAAAAAAGAAAGAGCAATTTAATAGAAAAAGATCTCAAAGGATGTATGCCAAGATGTTAATGTGTGGATGGTTGGAATTATAAGAATTCCTTATATTCTTTCTGCTTTTCTTTATTGTCTGATTTATAATAATAATAATGCATATGTATACTTTTCTTTAGATTAATAAGAAAAATGAACCTGGAAATTCACAATCACAGAAAGGATGTTATTGCAGTATTTTTCATTGATTCTTGTGGAAAAAATTACATTTCTTCTAAACACTGTTCATTCTGCCTTTTTACCTGCAATTCTTACTGTCTCCCAAATTCTCTTTCTAATCTTATTTATTAATGGTTGATATTTGAATTTTTTAAAATGCCAAATGAAATATATCTCTGCTTGATGACTATAATGATTGCATTGCTTTGCATTAATGGTTCTTTTGTTTTATTTTTAGCTTATGGTGCTGCTATCTGGAGTAATAGCTTTCATGGTGAACTTATCAATTTACTGGATCATTGGGAACACTTCACCTGTCACGTATCCTTTTCATATAACTTACAAATGCATCGTCTTTTATATTCTCCAAAACTTTCACATTCATTACCTTATTTGAATCTCCCACTATTGCATGGCCTAAATTGAGTAGAGAGAGTTATTTTTAGCCTTTTACTGTATCTTTACACACAATAGGATTTTAAAGAAATATGAACTGAAGGGGCGAGTGTGGTGGCTCACACCTGTAATCCCAACACTTCAGGAGGCCAAGGCGGGTGGATCGCTTAAGGCCAGGAGTTCAAGACCAGCCTGGATAACATGGTGAAACCCTGTCTGTACAAAAAATATATAAATTAGCTGGGTAAGGTGGTGCACGCCTGTAATCCCAGCTACTCAGGAGGGTGAGGCACAAGAATTGCTTGAACTGGGGAGTCGCAAGTTGAAGAGAGCCAAGATTGTGCCACTGTACTCCAGCCTGGGCAACAGAGCAAGACTCTGTCTCAAAAAAAAAAAAAAAAGGAAAGAAATATGAACTGAGGAAATGGGTTAGCTTTTTGTGTCATGAATGTTTTTGAATTTTCTTATGTAATATATGACCTTTTCCCTTACAAAAATTAACTCAGAGTACCATTTCTTACAGATAGTGAGATTAAATAAATATTTTTTGAATGAATAATGAGGTGGAGGTTTGGATTTTCAAACCATGTTCAGGTATTTATAGTAACAAAGTAAAGGAATGGTTAACAAATAACAAAAGATAATTTCAGGCCACTGGCATCTGGCTATGGAGTATGTGCTTGTACTTATTTGGATATGGGTGTGCCTGTTTTTCTCAATATTATTTCAAGTCAAGTAATGAAGTCATTGGCCAGGCACCATGGCTCACGCCTATAATTCCAACACTGGGAGGCCGAGGCAGGAGGATCACTTGAGCTTAGGAGTGCAAGACCAGCCTGGGCAACATAGGGAGACCCTATCTCTACCAAAAAAAAAAAAAAAGAAATGAAGTTATATGTTAAAGGTCAAATTCAACTGTCCATTTATACCATTCTGCTTGTCATTCTATTTCTCTTCACATTTCACTCTGTCCCCACCCTTAGGCAAATGCAGAGAATGAATTTCCCCAGGAAGTAAATAAGTAGTATATTTGCCAACTATCAATAAAAAACAACGATGATAAGTTTTTTAGAAAACCAATACTTAACAAATATTTATTTTGTGTCAGATACTGTTAGAAATATTTTATATGTATTAGTCCATTTAATTCTCATAGCAGCTCTGTGAGGTAGAGTCTGTCATTTTAGTTTATAGAAGAAATAGAGGCACAGAGAGGTTAACTAGCTCACTTAAGGCCACACAGCTGACAAATGGGATGTCCAGATTTGAACCCATGCAGTCTAGTCCCAAAATTTGTACATCATGCTACCCAGTCAAGACATCCAAATGTGTGCTCTGATTTAAAACATTAATTTATTCAGTAAGTATTGAATACCCACTAAACCATTCATTGATATAAAAATATTTATATACTGAACATCTACTATGTGCCAGGCACCGGGGATACAGTAATGAACTACACAGACAGGAGTCTTTGCCCTCACAGGCTTGAATTCTGGTGAGGAAGATTAGAAATAGAAAACAATTAAATATTTATATACAGTGTGGGATAGTGTTAACTGCCAAGGAGTAAAAATAAAGCAGGGAAGAGAATGTGAAATGTCATAGATAGCATTGAAGTTCTAGGCAGGGCTAGTCAGGAAGGCCTCAGTGGGAAGATGACATTTGAGTAAAGACCTGAAGGAAATGTGGTTGCTCCATGCAGATCAGGAGGGAAGAATATTCCAGGCCGAGGCAACAGCAGGTGCGAGGCCCTAAAAAAACCAAGGAAGCCTGTGTGGTTGGAGCAGGTTGAGCAAAGGAGGGAATGTGGTAGGCTGAGAAGTAACACAGAACTGAATTGAGTAGGGCATTTATGTAAGGACTGTTACACTGAGTAAGATGGGAAGCCATTAGCATTTTGAGCAGAGAAGTGACATGATTTTACATACATTCTAATAGAAGCACTCAGTGGGCCGGGCACAGTGGCTCACGCCTGTCATTCCAACACTTTGGAAGGCCAAGACAGGAGGATCCCTTGAGCCCAGGAGTTCGAGACCAGTCTGGGCAACATAGTAAGACCCTGTCGCTACAAAAAGTTTTTTAAAATAAATCACAGAATCACTCAGGGCTCCTGTGTTGAGAATAGATTAAAGAAGAATTTCTCAACCTGTGGGCTGTTGACTTTTTGGGCTGGACGGTTCTTAGTGCAGGCCTGTTTAGTACACTGTAGGATGTTTTCAGCAGGCCTGGGCTCTACCACCAGATGCCAGTAGCATACATACCCTTTGCCCAATTGTGACAACCAAAAATGCCTCCAAAGATTGCCCACAAAGCAGAATCACCCGTGGTTGAGAACTACTGGACTGTAAGAGGCACAGGAAACTGTCAGGAGACTGCTGCAATATTCGAATGTAGAAGTCATAGTGGCTACCAGTATGGTAGCAGTGGATATAGTGAGAAGTGATTGGATTCTGGATGTATTTCTAAGAAGAGCCAACAGGTTTTGCTGCCTAGTTGGATGTAGAGAAAGAGAAAACAAGGCTGATTTACATGGTTTTTGACCTGAGCACCTGGTAGAGTAGAGTTGCCATCAACTGAGGTAGGATAGCCAGAAGGAGGTTTGGGGCTGGGGAGGCAGATCAGGTGCTCAGTTTGGGGAGTATTTTTTTGTTCTTGTTTTTGAGACAGGGTCTTACTCTTCACCCAAGCTGGAGTGAAGTGGCACGATCATGGTTCACTGCAAACTCGAACTGTTGGGTTCAAGCATTCTTCCCACCTCGGCCTTCCAAAGTGCTAGGATTACAGGTGTGAGCCCAGCCAGGTGCTCAGTTTTGGATAAACAAGTCAGAGTTCAAAGGTGATGTCTCAGCAGGAGGCATCACAGGGAGTCAGAAGTATGAAGCTGTGGTTTAAAGTGGTGAGACTGGTTGAGATTACCAAGCAAACAAGTAGAAGAAAATAAGTCCAAAGACTGAGTGTTGGGTTTGAGTCCAGTATTTGGAATTCAGAGAGAGGAGAGGAACTAGCTGGAGGATGAGAAGGAGCAGTTAGAGGTGGAAGGAAGGAGGAGGGTGGCACAGAACCAGAGTGAGGAGGAGGAGGAGCGGTCGGTGTCTGTGTCAGATGCTGCTGGCAGGCCAAGTTCAAGGAGACTGGTCACCAATGAGGGTCTGAGTGAGGTGGAGGGCACTGGGTTTGACCAGAACATTCTGAAGGTTGGGGTGACAGCCTGCCTGGAGTAAAGTGCAGAACTGGAAATACCACATGTAGACTGCTCTTTTTTGTTGTTGTTTTTACAAAAAGATTCATGAATAGTTTATTTAAATTTGACTTCCTTCTAGTATAAATATGCTTAAAAGAGAAGCCTAGGAGTAAAGAAATTTAAAGTGTTAGAGCCAGTGCACATGAAGATAGCTCATAATTGAAAATAAAACATATTTTATGATGATTATTGCCAGTAACCTTGGGAAGATCCTCTGTGTCTCAGGAAGTCACCTCCATGGGATCAAGCCACCACATGCACCTGGGGACACGGCCCGTGCTCTCCCGAGGCACTGCTGCTGCCCAGCAGGAACCTCCAGGCCGCTTAGGTGGGCTTGGGGGTCAGACAGGTCCAGGTGTGAACACCAAGCTCTGCCACTACCTGTGGGCCTAACTAGTGTGGGAACTCTCAGGGTCTTACTCTGATCACTTATGAAATGTATGAAGTGGAGGAAGTGCGATCTATGATGTTGGGTGGTTGTATTTGAGAGAATGTGTCAAGCTCCAAGCAGGTGCTTATGACACATAGGTACTGCTATTGGTAACTATTATTATAGCTAGCACATATGGTGCTTACTATATGCTAGAAGCTTTGTGTATATTATTTAATCCTTACAATAACCCTGGGAGGTATTATTTTGTTCCCCTTTTATATAGTGAGGAAGCTGAGGCACAGAGTGGTAGCTATTTCTAGTGTTATAATTAGGAAAAGCACATAGGCACACATCATACATCTCAAGAACAAGAAAGTGCTCATTTATATAGAAAAAATAATTATATTTAAATATAAGTAATTGTGTGTGTGTGTGTGTGTGTGTGTGTGAGACAGAGTTTCACTCTGTTGCCCAGACTGGAGTGCAGTGGCGTGATCTCGGCTCACTGCAACCTCCGCCTCTTGGGTTCAAGCGATTCTCCTGCCTATCTCCCAAGTAGCTGGGATTACAGGCATGCACCACCACGCCCGGCTAATTTTGTATTATTAGTAGAGATGGGGTTTCTCCATGTTGGTCAGGCTGATCTCAAACTCCTGACCTCAGGTGATCCACCCACCTTGGCCTCCCAAAGTGCTGGGATTAGGATTAGAGGCGTGAGCCACCGTGCGTGGCCACAAGTAATTTTTAAAGGGTGTGTGGTGTATTTAGTTTGCTTTTTAAATATACAGTGATTTGGAAAAACCTTAATCCAGTGGCATGTTACTGGCAGTATTTTGGATTAGAACATGGGCTTTGGAGTTAAATAGACCCATTTATATTTGGACTCCAACTCTGCTACTTACTAGCTCTGTAATCTGGGGCATGTTACTTAAAATCTCTGAGCCTCTACAACTGTAAATAGGAAGAGTGAGCCTGCAGTGAAGGTAAACGTGATGCCTAACTTCGAAGATTTCATGTAAATCGCCCAGTATGGTGTTTGGTGTGTAGTTGGTGCTCAGTATTGCTCCCTCTCCCCCTCCCGCTTTTCCCTCTTAAATTCAAGTTAGCTCTCTGGTACCTTATTCTCACTTCATTTCCCAAGGAAACACCACTGTAAAACATAATTATAAATTGCTATACAAAATATCTTCCCTGGACCTTGTTCTGAATGTCTTTCCTTTTATATTGTATCCCTTTTCTTTTTTGGAGGTCAGTAGGAATGGTTGAGGCAGTCTTGTGTCTCTGATTAATCAATTGCTAAAACCTACCTGAAGAAACTAAGAAGTTCCCATTATTCTCTTTTTTTAGACAGTCTTGTTCTGTCACCCAGACTAGAGTGCAGTTATGCATTCTTGGCTCACTGCAACCTCCACCTCCTGGGTTTCTCTCTTGTTGCCCAGGCTGGAGTGCAATGTTACGATCTCGGCTCACCACAACCTCCGCCTCCTGGGTTCAAGCAATTCTCCTGCCTCAGGCTCCTGAATAGCTGGGATTAAAGGCATGCGCCACCACACATTACCCAGCTAATTTTTGTATTTTTTGTAGAGACAGAGTTTCACCATGATGGCCAGGCTGGTCTCAAATTCCCAGGATCAAGAGATCCACCACCTCAGCTTCCCAAAGTGCAGGGATTACAGGCATGATCCACCATGCCTGGTCCCATTGTTCTTTACATGGGGTGGGCTGCTTTTGAGTTGTTTTATGTAGTGTGAGTGTGTGTGTAAATATACCATCTATCTTATTCTTCCTTTTTATCCTTATCCAAAAACCTCAGCTATAACATGTTTGGACACTTCAAGTTCTGCATTACTTTATTTGGAGGATACGTTTTATTTAAGGATCCACTGTCCATTAATCAGGCTCTTGGCATTTTATGTACATTATTTGGCATTCTCGCCTATACCCACTTTAAGCTCAGTGAACAGGAAGGAAGTAAGAGTAAACTGGCACAACGTCCTTAATTGGGTCTTTTTGGAGAAAAGAATGTTGTCCCAAGAAGATAAAAAATGTGGTTAAGTGTGCAAGTTACTAAAAAAAAAAAAAAAAAATTGGGGCCAGGCGCAGTGGCTCATGCCTGTAATCCCAGCACTTTGGGAGGCCAAGGCCAGTGGATTACCTGAGGTCAGGAGTTCAAGACCAGCCTGACCAACATGGAGAAACTCCGTCTCAACTAATAATACAAAATTAGCCAGGCGTGGTGGCGGGTGCCTGTAATCCCAGCTACTCAGGAGGCTGAGGCAGGAGAATCGCTTGAACCCAGGAGGCGGAGGTTGCAGTGAGCCGAGATCGTACCATTGCACACCAGCCTGGGCAACAAGAGTGAAACTCCGTTTCAAAAAAATTTGTGACTGATTCAATGATTGAATGATTTGTTGGAATTAACACAAAAGAAATTTTATTCATATAATGACTTTTTAAAAAGTGTCTCTTTAAAAAAAACCTTAATCCTCTAAAACAAAAATGGTTCATGCTTCTTTTTAAAAATGATTGTATGAAATGTATGGGATGGTTAGCCGGGTGTGGTGGTGCACACCTGTAATCCCAGCTACTTGGGAGGCTGAGACATGAGAATTGCTTGAGCCTGGGAGGTGGAGCTTGCAAAGGGCCGAGATAGCACCACAGCACTCCAGCCTGGGCAACAGAGCAAGACTCTGTCTCTCTCTCTCTCTCTCTCTATATATATATATACACACCATACCATATATATGTGGGACATATATATATGGGATGGTTTGGTTATTCCCAGCAAAGTACATAAAAATTAAAGTTCTATGATAATGACAAAGGAATTGCTGTTACTGTACTGCAAATGTGCTATGGGTTCTCAGTATTCATTCTTCTAAGGAAGGACACACAGTAGTAGCTCTTTGCTTGCTGATAGATGGTTTCCCAATGTGAGATTTGTTATTTTGATCAGAGTATTCAAATTAGAATTTAAATCTAGCATTTCTATTTTAGTTTGGCTTCCTGATGATTTATGTAAACGAAATCTCATTTATAAAGTATAATAAAGATGACTGTAAGACAAAATCCAATTCTAAAAGTATGATTTTTTTCTAGTAGAAAATTGGTGTAAGAAATCATACATTATTCATACATTTATAGGTCATCTCTTTGAGTTTTCGGTGAACTATAGAAACTATATGGAGTTAAAAAACAATAGCGGCCCATTGCAGTGGCTCATGCCTGTAATCCCAGCACTTTGGGAGGCCAAGGCGGGTGGATCACCTGAGGTTGGGAGTTCAAGACCAGCCTGACCAACATGGAGAAACTCCGTCTCTACTAAAAATACAAAATTAGCCCTGCATGGTGGCGCATACCTGTAATCCCAGCTATTCGGGAGGCAGAGGCAGGAGAATCGCTTGAACCCAGGAGGCAGAGGTTGCAGTGAGTCGAGATCATGCCATTGCATTCCAATCTGGGCAACAAGAGTGAAACTCCCATCTCAAAAAAAAAAAAAAAAGCCCTATGTTTAAATGGCTCGAAGAAAAGACTATAAATGGAATTGAACACGTTTGTTAGCTGTGTAAGCATTTTATATTGGTAATTTTTTTTTTCTTTTTTTGTCTTACTGTTAACCAAGCTAGAATGCAGTGGCACAATCATGGCTCTCTGCAGCCTCAACCTCCTGGGCTCAGGCAATCCTCCTGCCTCAGCCTCCCCAGTAGCTGGGACTACAGGCACAAACCAACACACCTGGCTGATTTTTATATTTTTTGTAGAGACAAGGTTTTGCCATGTTGCCCAGGCTGATCTCAAACTTTTGAGCTCAAGCCATCTATCTGCCTTGGCCTCTTGAAGTGCTGGGATTACAGGCCTGAGCCACCACACGTGGCCAGTAATTTCTTAATCCTGCCTCCCTGCTTCTATTGCCTAGCCCGTACATTTGAGGCTTCCATGGAGCTTTCTGTGGTACTGACACACTTGGAGTGAACTGTGGATTTGGAGTGAACTACATCCAGCCTTTCTAAGGTGGCTGGGGAAAAGCCTTGTACAGCAAGTTGGGACAAAAGCCATATAGACACTAGGCAGAAAAATTGGGATATTAGAGGAAATACATGATTTCCACCTATGGAGTCACATGTTTGCAAAATGTATTTCTGCTTTTCATCTTCTTGACATCTGAATATTAAAAGTAGTGTTGATAATTTCATATAATAAATTGAGACCTATCATTACTCTTGTAGTAAATAATTCCTTTTCTAAATATTATTTATCAACTTTGATGGAGAAAGCAACTCTTAAGAGAACAAAGACCAGCCTGGGCAACATAGTAAAACCCCGTCTGCAAAAAACACAAAAATTAGCCGGGCCTAGTGGCACGTGCCTGTAGTTCCATCTACTCAGGAGGCTGAGGTGGGAGGATTGCTTGAGCCCAGAAGGTGCAGGTTGCAGTGAGCCCAGATCGTGCCACTGCACTTCAGCCTGGGCGACAGACTGGACTCTGTCTTGGACTAAAAAAAGTGGGGGAAGAGCCACAAAATATACCTTTTGGTAAGACAGTAAATTTTATGTTTTGTGTTTTTTAACACAATAAAAATATGTATACACACAACCTTTGGGGTTTTTGGGATTTTTTTTTTTCCTGGACTCTGAAATGAGAAGCCTCCCTGAAAATCTGTTTTGGAGAATTCCAATTTGTCAGTCAGTCTCTTGTGTAATTAGTACATGTGGCTTCCTGTTTTGTTTTAAATATTCTTTGGTTCTTCTCATTTTACAAAGATATGTCTTTTTTGTGCTAAGAAGGACAGAGCAGTTAGTTTTTACCAGATAAGCCTCAAGTATGTTTGTCTTATGTTTGTCTAAGAAACATTCTCTGTGGATGTTTAAATTGTAATTATTTCCCAAAAGCTGAGAAAAGTGTTTCAGCACAGTGAGGATTTGACGTCTGCACTGAGAACAGCTGAGTTAATTTGTGCCATTTAGAAATTCTTAACTGCAGGCTGGGTGCGGTGGCTCACGCCTGTAATCCCAGCACTTTGAGAGGCCAAGGCAGGTGGATCACCTGAGATCAGGAGTTTGAGACCAGCCTGGCCAACATGGCGAAACACTGTTTCTACTAAAAATACAAAAATTAGCTGGGCGTGGTGGCAGGCACCTGTAATTCCAGCTACTCGAGAGGCTGAGGCAGGAGAATCACTTGAACCTGGGAGTCGAGGTTGCAGTGAGCCGAGACTGCACCATTGCACTCCAGCCTGGGTGACAAGAGTGAAACTCCGTCTCAAAAAAAGAAAAAAAAAAAAGAAATTCTTAACTGTAAATAGAACTTGTGGAGGGTGTTATAATATACGTGTCAGTAGGAATGCAGTAAGAAGCCTGGAGGAAGACAGGATGGGGTTACAGTTACGTGTATATAAATGAATAAACTAAGTACTGCTAAAACTTGAGTCTGATAAACTTTTTTGCCCTGAAGATAATCATCCCACTGAAAAGAAAACTCCCGGGGAAAATGTGCAGATACTGGAACCAAGCATGGAAACAAACCAAATACGGTGCTTTCAAAGAGAACATGCTGTCTTTTGTTACCAGCATGACTGTAATTACTGTTTACTCTGTGTTAAGTGACTGAACTTCAATTTTTACCTGTTAAAGAGAACCTCTTTTTACTTTTGTATTGCATATGAGAGCCGATGGAAGAAGGATGGCATCTGTGTAACATGTGTATGGTAACGCTGGCGTGTTCAGCTGTTCATATTTGGCCTGTCCAAATAAACAGAAATGAATGAAACAAAATTCCATCTCCTTTTAAAAATAACATAAACGAGAAACCTCTCTCTGTGAAATGAAGTAAGCATTCTTTTGTTTCACTTTTTAAAACACTTTTAAAATCTTGCTGTTTTCAACCGATTAAAGACTTCTTAAATGTTTACTTCAAAGCAGAAACATTAAGTTGGGCACAGTGGCTCATGCCTGTAATCTCAGCACTTTGAGAGGCCGAGGTAGGCAGATCACCTGAGGTCAGGAGTTCGAGACCAGCCTGGCCAATATGGTGAAACCCCATCTCTACTAAGAATACAAAAATTAGCCAGGTGTGGTGGTGCATGCCTGTACTCCCAGCTACTTGGGAGACTGAGGCAGGAGAATGGCTTGAACCCGGGAGGTGGAGGTTGCAGTGAGCAGAGATCATACCATTGCACTCCAGCCTGAGCAACAGAGTGAGACTCTGTCTTAATAATAATGATAATAATAATAATAATGACAAAGCAGCAACATTAAGCACTCTATATGCAGTCCGTCAGTAAATACTGTTGAGTGAATGACTATGCAGAATGGCCAAAGGTGAAAGTCTGATTAAAAGAAAGGAGACCTTAGCCAGGCACGGTGGCTCACGCCTGTAATCCCAGCACTTTGGGAGGCTGAGGTGGGGAGATCATCTGAGGTCAGGAGTTCGAGACCAGCCTGGCCAACATGGTGAAACCCCATCTCTACTAAAAATACAAAAAAAAATTAGCTGGGCATGGTGGCAGACACCTGTAATCCCAGCTATTTGGGAGGCTGAGGCCAGAGAATCCCTTGAACTCAGGAGGCAGAGGTTTCAGTGAGCCAAGATCATGTCATTGCACTGCAGCCTGGGCAACAAAAGCAAAACTCCGTCTCAAAAGTAAATAAATAAAAAAGAAAGGAGACTGGATTTATTAGATGTAGTCTGTTTTGTCTTTCTGTTCCCAAACTTAAACTGGATTATACCTGCTAATATCAGGAATATAATGATAATTGCATTCATTCAACAAAAATTGTTTGAGCATATACTGTGCGCCAGCTACTGTGCTAGGCATTATGGACATAAAACAGTTTTTATGTAGAGACAGTCCTGTATGTCCTATGATCTTAAGGAACATTTGTCTACCATGATAAGACTAATTAAACAAAAACAAAATAGGAATAATTAAACAGCAAACTCAATGAATGCTAAAGGGGACATGGTTCTGTGAGCACATAACAAAAGAATCTGGCCCAGGCTTGGCAGTTGTGGAGGGAGTCCATCAAGAAAGTTTGACTGAGCTGCAGTCGTAGAGATATGGAAGTTAGCTAGGCAGAGGGAGGTGTTTCATTCTGGAAAGAGGCAATAGCGCATACAAATGCCCATTGGTTGGAGGAATTGTGATGATTTTAAAGAACTATAAAAAGGATGGAGTCTGGAGACTAAATTTGAGCGTGGGGAGATACGGTGTGTCATGCACCTAGAAAGATAGGCCTCAGACCATACAATACCTGGAGGCTATGGTAAGCATCTTTAGTAAGAGCAAGGGGGAGTGTTGTGAGCACTGTCACAGTAAATTTGTTTTGAAATTAGTGGGGGAGAACCAGAGAGATGCCAGGAGACCAGTGAATTGGGAGATGACTGTAGTTAGAGATGGTGGCAGCTTGAAAAGCAGTGGAGTGAGATAAGTGGAAATCTTCAAGAGAATTGAGTGGCTGGAATCAACTGGACTGGAGATGGATTGGAAATGGAGGGTATGAGAAGGGTTAAAGTTAAGGATCACACTTCAGCTGGGCGTGGTGGCTCACGCCTGTAATCCCAGCACTTTGGGAGACCAAGGTGGGTGGATTGCTTGAGTCCAGGAGTTCGAGACCAGCCTGGGCAACATGATGAAACCCTGTCTCTACAAAGAATACAAAATTAGCTGGACATGGTGGTGTGGGCCTGTGGTCCCAGCTACTCAGGAGACTGAGGTGGGAGGATCTCCTGAGCCCAGGAGGTTGAGGCTTCAGTGAGCCATGATCACACCACTGCACTCTAGCCTGGGTGAGAGTGAGTCCCTGTCTCAACAGCAACAAAAAATCACACATGTGTGATTTGCACAGCTTGATAGAGAATGGTGCCGTTCTCTGAACTGGGAAACACAAGGAGAGGACTGAGTTAGGAGAGGGATGAGGCAGAGGAAAATGATGGGCCTTCTTGATATTGAGATATCCAATTACAGATGTTGCCAGGCACAGTGGCTCACGCCTGTAATCCCAGCACTTTGGGAGGCCGAGGCAGGCAGATCACTTGAGATCTGGAGTTCAAGACCAGCCTGGCCAACATGGTGAAACCCCATCTCTACTAAAAATACAAAAATTAGCTGTGTGTGGTGGCACATGCCTATAATCCCAGCTATTTAGGAGGCTGAGGCAGGAGAATCACTTGAATCTGGGAGGCAGAAGCTGCAGTGAGCTGAGATTGCACCACTGCACTCCAGCCTGGGTGACAGAGAGAGACTCTGTCTCAGAAAAAAAAAAAAAAAAAAAAAAAAAAAGACGTTAATCAAATAATCAGTTTACAGAGGCACAGAACTCAGGAAAATGTTTAGTTGGAGTGAAGATAAAACTTAGGAATTTCTGGGGTATGCCTGGTAAGGAGGAAAACAGACCAAGATGACTTGCTGAAGAAGATTAAGGAGGAAAACAGACCAAGATGAGCTTGCTGAAGAAGATAGCATAAAGCAAGAACAGACTATAACTGAAGTTGAGGAACTCTGGTATACGATGATAGAACATAATGCTGCTAAAGAAACAGAGAAGGAACAAAGAGGTGAGAGGAAAATGGGCCAGGCACTATGGCTCATACCTGTAATCCCAACACTGAGAGGCCAAGGCAGGTGGATCTCTTGAGCTTAGGAGTTGAAGACCAGCCTGGGCATCATGGCGAAACCCCATCTCTACAAAAAATAACAGTAATTAGTAGTTTCGAAAGAAAGAAACCTGCCAAGAAAAAGGTCGGTCTCAGGCCAGGAGCTAGTAGCGTGAAGTGGAACAGGTCAGGTCCAGCCTGGACGGCAGCACTGGGACTTCCAGTCCAGACTCTGCCACTCACTGGTATAGCCTTTGGCAAAGCCTTTGGGCAAGTTGCTCAAATCTTACTTCTCAGTTTCTTCACCTATAAAATGAGGGCTTTGATCCAAATAATTTCCAGGGGACTGTCCAGCTCCAAAATCCCCTGATTCTGCTTTTTCAGATTACAATTATAATTTATCATTTGCTTATATTAAAAGCAGATTTGAATAAATTAGAAGGGTTTGGTTTGTTGACCTTTTTTTTATTTTTATTTTTTTATTTTTTGAGACGGAGTTTTCTCTGTCTCCCAGGTTGGGTTGCAGTGGCTCAATCTCAGTTCACTGCAACCTCCGCCTCCCGGGTTCAAGCGATTCTCCTGCCTCTGCCTCCTGAGTAGCTGGGATTACAGGCACCCACCATCATGCCTGGCTAATTTTTTGTATTTTTGTAGAGACAAGGTTTCACCATGTTGGTCAGGCTGGTCTTGAACTCCTGACCTCAGGTGATCCTCCACCTCGGCCTCCCAAAGTGCTGGAATTAGAGGTGTGAACCACTGTGCCCGGCCTGTTTGACCTTTATAAGATTAATTTTCTTGTTCACAAGCATTTCTTTACTCATAGATAGCATTTTTATAACTGATATGAGATGCATTAAATGTAATCATATTACTTTCTTATATTAGATAGGATTTATTCTGATGTATCCCAGTTACTTTATACTTCATATGAAGTCATTAGGAGGTGAATTATTGCCAATTCAATGAATTATAAGTATTTGGGAAATGTATTTGTTATGCTGCTTTTAATTTGGAAAGCAGCATATCACTCAAACTATAGTAATTCACATTTTTCCATTTAACTAAAAATGTCTCGTGACTACTGTGCCACAAGAACAAGCATGGATATTTATTTAACCAGCCAAGACGATGCATTTCTAAATATTTTTTTCGGTTATCCATAGACTTTTCCTTTTGAAATCCAACAGTCTGTATCAACCATATGTCTTCATTTTCCTTTTCCTGTTTGTCTTACTCTTCCCCCCAAAAAAGTCAGTTTCCTGTTTTTTCAATTGTCCTTTTGTCAGTTTAAAATTAGAGCCCTATAGCAGGTGCCATGTACAGCTGCAAAGGTGGCAAGAAGCCCTGAGAAAGCTTAAGAAGCAGATCAAGGGGGTGGATAAGGAAGATGAGACGTTCAAGCAGAAACAAAAAGAGGAGCTAAAAGTGAAAGCCCCCCACCCCGCCCCCGCCAGCCACATTAAATAAATATGGCAAAAATAAATTTTGTTGGCCGGGCGCGGTGGCTCAAGCCTGCAATCCCAGCACTTTGGGAGGCCGAGACAGGTGGATCACGAGGTCAGGAGATGGAGACCATCCTGGCTAACACGGTGAAACCCCGTCTCTACTAAAAAATACAAAAAACTAGCCGGGCGTGGTGGCGGGCGCCTGTAGTTCCAGCTACTCGGGAGGCTGAGGCAGGAGAATGGCGTGAACCCAGGAGGCGGAGCTTGCGGTGAGCTGAGATCCGGCCACTGCACTCAAGCCTGGGCGACAGAGCGAGACTCCGTCTCAAAAAAAAAAATAATAAAAAATAAAAAAATAAAAAATAAATTTTGTTATCTGTGCTTGGGGCGGTGACCCTTGATTCCATTCCTATTTAAACATCTGGATTCTCTGCCATAACATCTTTTGCCACCTATAGCTACAATAGTGTCGTCTTGGAGTCTGTTGTACATTTAAGAATACACTTTTGTAAGGAAGTAAAAAAGAGTCTACAGTTCAGTGCAGGATAGGGATGAGTGGGCCTTAATTCAGGAGGTGGGAGGCTCAAAATCAATTACTCTATTGAGGAGATGGAATCTCC